AGCAAGGAGAATCTTAGCTCGAATCCTTCCTATTTGTGGAAGAGCATATGGTGTGCTAGTGGCCTTCTTGATAAAGGTATTGGTTGGAGGGTTGATGGTGGTTCTTCAATCAACATCTGGACAGATGCTTGGACAGCTGGTCATAGCAATGACAGGGTTGACTCGTCCCTTACAGATGATAGCCACAACTACATTTCGAACCTCATTGAGGGGACTACTCATACATGAAAAAATGATATTGTTCGAGAAGTGTTCCCCCTATTTGGCTGACAAAACTCTTAGTATGCTTCTCCCCTTATCTTCCATGCCCGGTCGTATATATTGGAGAGAGGATAGTTTTGGGCTTTATTCCATTTGAAGCGGGTATCATTGGCTTATCAATGTCACTCTCTCGTCTATGAGTGATACTAACTTGTTTCAAGAGGACTGGTCTTTCATTTTCTTTAGTGCTATTTGAACTACTAATCTTCCTTCTAAAATAAAGATTCACTTTTGGAGGCTAGTAAACAACTATTTGCCTACTAATTCCAATCTTAATTTCAGGAAAATTGTAGTGGATCCTACTTGTAGACTTTGTGAGCAGGGCAGTGAGTTTGTCTTACATTTCATTCATGACTGTAATTTTGTTCAGCAGGTTCTATATTCTCTGGGTACTAATCTCCTCATAGTACCTGCAGATCAGAATTTCATTCGGTGGTTAGCTACTATTTTTGAACTCCTTAGTGTTTTCCAAAGAAGAATCTTGGTCACCATTTTCTGGACTATTTGGTCAGCTCGAAATAAAAAAAAAACCAGGAAGGGACTCACCAATCAGTTGAAGATGTAGCGAGAGTTATTTCCATATTCCTGAAAGAATGAGAAGATTCTGGTATCTGTAAGCCATCATCCACCGCTATCACTTCATATGCATGGTAGCCCTCATCCCCTCTTGGTCACCATTTTCTGGACTATTTGGTCAGCTCGAAATAAAAAAATCCATGAAGGGACTCACCAATCAGTTGAAGATGTAGCTAGAGTGTTTCCATGTTCCTGAAAGAATTAGAAGCTTCTGGTATTTGTAAGCCATCATCCATCGCTATCACTTCATATGCATGGTAGCCTTTATCCCCTGATTTGATCAAAATTAATTTTGATGTAAATTTTGATTACTCTAATCATCAATTTTTTACAGGGATTATCTATAGAAATAATGTGGGACAAATAATGACTTATGTCACTCTCCCAAACCCGTTTGTGGGAGTCCTGAAATGGACGAAGCTTTCACGCTCTATCAGGCACTTTGTCTTGCTGAATACCTTGGGTTTCACAAAATATTGGTGGAGGTAACACTCTTAGAATCAATTCCAACAAGGAAGATCGATAAGACATTTGTCCAATAATCTCAAACATAAAATCTAAAAGGGGGTCGTTCGAGTTTCTTACTTTCTTGCATGTCCACAGGAGGTTGAATAACGCTGTCCATGTTCTTGTCGAGGTTGGAAAAACCTTCTCCGGCCCTATGGTATGGATTGAGGAGGCTCCTACAGAAGTTGAAGATACAACTCGCAAGGATATTTGGTGGGTAGATCCACCAGATTAACTAGTTCATATTACTCTCAGATCACCGGAGATTGTTTCCCTTTACTTCGGTGCTCAAAGCGGTTCTTCATCCTATTTAGCTCAATTTTGCGATGCTCTATCTTTCAGAGAGGTTTTGAGGGTGGGTTTTGTTTAGCTGATTTTATGTTTTGTTGCAGTTATTTTCTGTTGCTTTTGGTTTTTTGGATTTGGTCTTGTTTTGGGTTTTACCTTTATGTTGTATGCTTTATTAGATGCAATAAAAATTAGTTAAACCATTCAAAAAAACTTAGTTTTTAATGTATTTTTTATAATTTTTTATTATATATTTGTGAATTTATAGTATTAGAAACAAATTGACCTAATATTTAAAACATTTTTTTAAGTTGGGACCAAATTAAATAGGTGAAAGGGTAACTTTTTATCACTGTAATATATCTAATTTATCACTTTCGTCCCTATCGTATTTTCACATTAATTTAGCCCTCGAAGTTGCTCAATTGCATCATTCTATATCATTCACCTAACTTAAAACCCTAAATCATAAACCCTAAATCTTAAACCATAACTTTACAACCTCTAAATCATAAACTCTAATTTAGGGTTTATAATTAAGGGTTCTAAATTAAGGGCAGAGTATAGAATGATGCAATTAAACAACTTTGATGATTAAATTGATGCAAAAATACGATACGTATGAAAATGATAAATTATACCTATTACACTACTACAGGGACAAATGTAACCCTTAAACCAAATAATATATAAAATTCAAAGATTAAATTTATTATATCAAATTTAAAATTTACCACGTCACTTTCCATTTGATAATAGAGGGATAAAATCAATAAAATAAATGAATATTTTGTATCTTTTAATAACCTAATAACCAAAAGAAGAAAATATATATAATTGGGTGACTATTTATGAAATTTATCAAGATCCAACCCTTAAAAAAATTCCATGCCCTAGATCCGAGGTTGAAGAATGGGTAAAGAACTTGGCTAGGCCTGTAAACGAACCGAACGCACACGAACGAAGGTATGTTCATGTTCGTTCATTTAAATTAACGAACATAAACGAACACGAACATAAACGAACAAAATTTTTTTTGTTCATGTTCGTTTATTAAGGAATATAACTTGTTCATGTTCGTTCATTTAATAAATAAACGAACATAAACGAACACGAACATAAACGAACACGAACATAAATGAACACGAACATAAACGAACATAAACGTTGGAGGCCCTACCTTCCATTGTTCTTTCATGAAAAATAGTCGACAATGCAAATCAACCAAATCTACAGTGATAAATAGCGTAAGAGCTTATTAGCAGTGATGAAATGTTTGAAGATATCAAATATTTCGATCGATCTTTTAAAGATATTAAATGATTCACACGACTTTAATTTAATGCTATAACATTTATCTTAGTGTTCCATGATTACATATGAACAATCATTTTCCGCTATTACACTCTTTTTCAGAAATTGCATAGAAACCTTTGTTTTGTTTTCTGGCAAATTTTATATATTTTTCCTTTTACTGATTCTCATATACTTCCGATTTTTACCTTTATATTCTCATCTATTTCTAGAAAGAAGTATTATGTTTTCTTGAGTTTTAGATGTGAAGATACCCACAATAACTTTACATATCAACTATTAAGTCAAATAAAACAGAGAAAGAGATGAAAACAGACCTGTAAAACTTCATATTGCACTATAATATAACTAGTTTTAAATCTTTCAGAGATCGTATCCACTCTCCAGTGAACAATAAGGTTTGGGAAAAAAGGGGAAAAATGAATATAAGTGCGAGGTGTCTCACAGGTTAACATATTGGATTTAATCTCCAAATAAAATTGGGTTAATTATGGAGTTGGTCATCAGAATATCAGATTAATATTTTTAAGATACTTACAAATTGGTCACCAAAATTGATTTAAGAAGATTGTATTAAACATAAATGAATGAACATAAACGAACATAATCGAACGAACATAAACGAACATAACCAAACGAACATAACCGAACGTTCACGAACGTAAATGAACGAACGAGACCTATGTTCATGTTTGTTCATTTAATTAAACGAACAAAAAATCTTGTTCATGTTCGTTCATTTAATAAATAAACGCACATAAACGAACTTCCCGCCGCACGGTTCATGAACGGTTCGTTGAACGTTCAGTTCATTTACAGGCCTAAACTTGGCGAGTTCAATATTCAATCACGAGTCACGAAAAGTAATTCAAAAGTGACTAATATAGAATTAACGAGTGGGTTTCTCTCTAAAATTGTTTTAATACAAAGATAATCATAAGTTGGCTTTTTAGATTCCTTAATCCACTAATTATCGAGTTAACGAGTAGTTTTTCTCTCAGAAATTGTTTTAATAACTATTTTATAATAATATGCTAAATTTAATAATTATTTTAGAACATGAAAATTTTATTTATTATAAAAATTATTTAAGCATAGTTTATTATCAAGTTGAACACTCTACCCTTATTTTACTTATGGGTAAATTACAGATTTGATAACTGAATTTTATTCTTTTATTTCACTCACTATACTCTAAATCTTTTTAATTTTCTAACTTAACTTAATAAATAATTGAACTTACTACATTATGTTTTTTGTCACTTAGCCGTTAAATAGTTAACGACGTTAAAATAGCCAGTTATATAGATGCAAAACGATATCGTTTTGATGAAAGTTTTATTTTTTAAAACGACGCCATTAATTATATAACGACATAGTGACCAAAACAAGAGAGAGCAAAGTTTAGTGACAAAAAACCTAATGTATTAAGTTCAGTGAAAAAATTATAATTTACGCTTTAATTATTGAATTTTTAAATTTGTTTATTTTATTTTACTACGTAAAACTAATCAGAAGAAAATGAAATCATAAAAAGAGTAAAGCGTAAATTACTTATTTGGTCACTCATCAACTACTTACTTTTGTTTTGGTCATTTTGTTATTATTATTATTTTTTAAAATCATACATATCGTTACATTTTGATTATGTTTTAATCACTCACTTTTAAAAAATTAATTGTGGTGCTGACTTGTTACCATAAGGTAATGCCAAATCAGTATTGAAAATTTTAAAAAATATCATGTCAACATCTCCTATATTTTTTTATCAAGTAAGGTGATTACAAAGTAGTATATGTTCTAAATACTCTCAACTATTTGGCAATAAACGCTCAATCACCATGTTGCAGTCGCTAGTGCTCGAACTCGTGACTTCTAGAAACAACAACAATTTATTTAACTACTGAAGTAAGTTGGTTTGTGCTCATCACCTTTAATTTGTTAACCACAAGTGATCAAAATAGACTCAAAATGTAACATAATGTAAAAATAATTAAATGAACAAAACAGAAACTATGTAATAGGTGGGTGACCACATAGGTAGTTTACCCAAGAATAGAATAAGTTATTACCTAAAATCCCTAAAGCTTATTCTTTTCTCTCTCTCTCTCACCCAAATCTGACTCTGGTTATCTTTGTGTTTTCAATTTCAATTAAGTGGTAAGTTCCCAAACTCCTCTTTCAGATCTTACAATTCATTCTCTATTGTTTCGTTGGCTTCTGTCAATGATCGACAAACTTTTCAATCTAATATATTTTTGCTCTTTCAAAAGTTTGCATCTTTTACCCGATTTATTCGAGATTAATAATTGGATTGTCTCTGTTTCATGGTTATTATATCACGCTGGTATTCCCTTTCTTAAGAATGCAGTAGTTGATTTCGAGGTTGTGAAGGGAAAAATAAATTAAAAATTATTTGAAACGCAGTAGGAACAGAGAAAAAGTCTTAACATTTAGTAAATTGCACGAGTTTTCCCCCAATACATTTAGCTGATTGATTTTTCTTTTCCAGTTTTTTCAAGCTTCTTTGTTGGATGATTGTGGGTTGGTGGCAAAGAAATGAGTGGAGTAAAAAGGGCTAGCTCAGGTATGCTAATATTACATCAATCCTTTTATTCTCATATTCTGTCAATGCAATTTAATGATTTGAAATAAATTATTATCGTGTGTGCCATGAAAAAAATAGTAAGGGTCTATGGGATCAGATAGCTTGGGAAGTTTTGAGTAAATGTTAATATTTTCTGGTTAAGCTTTCCTTCAAAAGTTGCTAATGGAAACTTTGTTATCAACAACAGATAAAATGAGACAATTTTGCGTATGTACAATCATATGCAAAAAAAATTAATTAGTAGGTATGCATCGTATATGGGGCATTTGCCTATACATTTCTCAAAGTTATTGCTTGAGTTCTTAGTCAAAATATTTTCTGCCTGGCCTGTGCATCCCAACTCAAATAATATAAGGTGAAAATAATATAATGCTTGTCTTAAAGGGAAGCTATCTTTTGGATTTGGCTTTGTAGAATTCAGTTTTCAACTTATTTACTTCACTGCAAAGGGTAAAACTTGTTTTTATGGAGGCCTAAGAGTCACAATGATGCTTGAAAACAAAGGGCCTATCCTTATTACCACTAATTTCTTATATTTTCTTCTCTCTGTAACCTTTGAAGAAATTGGATTTGCCACAAAAGGTGAGCACTTATAACCTGGTTTTGTGCTGTTAAACACTAAATACTTAACGGTCCATTTTTGGATTTACATCAAGTATAAGAGGTCAGATAATCTCCATTTTTAAATTGAACCTTTATGGGTAACATCATATTTCTTTTTTAAGGTTAATCCATCTTTGGTCTTCCTTAAATTTTACCGAACTTTGTAGAAAATGCATTTCCTCTGCAGCTAAAGTAAGATTGAGGAGCTTACTGAATCAAGCTGATAACCGCATTTGTGCTGATTGTGGTGCTCCAGATCCAAAGTGGGCGTAAGTTTTACTGTCACCATATTTAGAGTTTGCCTATTCATTTCTTATCCTATGAATAGGGGATAAGAGTACCTGATGAATACATGTCTCTTTGGCAAATTTAAGTATGCACTTTATGAAAAGCTTATAACCTAACCATAAATCATAGTTATGGACTTGATCAAGCATGCATATGTGTGTATGTTTTTTTGTAACACAAGAAAGGATTAAGAAGATCAATTGAAAATTGTATTTTCAGATCAGCAAATATTGGAGTTTTTTTATGCTTGAAATGTTGCGGTGTGCACAGAAGCCTCGGTGTACACATCTCCAAGGTGATTAATGTGTTTGCATGTAATGTAATTTTTTTTCTCATGGAATGATCCCTGATTGTGGAAACATACGAGGGATTTTCTGTTGGCAATTTATTGTACACATTGTTAATTGGTTATATAATTTCTAGTAGGCAATTTATTTTTCCGAGGTTTGGCATATAAGGTGCAATGAATTTGATAAATCAGTAAAAGTAGATGATCCAAGTATGGGGTAATAGGTCTGTGCCTTGATAACAGAACCAACAGTGCGCCTATGAATTTTACACAGTTTATAGACAAAATCTTTAGGATATAAATGGGAACAAAAAAATAAATCTAATTGATTAATATTCTAACTAATAGTCTACTTCTAGCCTGTAACCATTTATTTATCCAGAACGTGTGTCTTTGTTAGTTCACATACATGTATTTCTTAAAGCTTCTCTGGGCTTAATCTGGTTGATTATTGGAAGAACATTCATGGATCAAGATTAAAATTTAATTATCTTGAGGATTAATTTCATATGAGGTTTGTGAGATGCACTGTCATGCAAAGCTGATATATGGTACAAAAGCTTTTATCTGTTAACTGTGACAGTTGAATTATCCATATGTTTAACTGAAGTATTTACATGTTTATGTTACCTTTGTAGAATCTTTTAACGGTGGTATAACATGATGAATTTTCCAATTCAAGGGATTAACTTAGGGCATTATACTTGTAGAATATTTTAACTGCGGTATATCCTGATGTAATTTCCCATTTAAGGGCTTAACTTGGAGTACTATTCTTTTTTATTATTAATATTATATAATCAGTTTGACCTCATTGATGTCTGTATATCATGCTTACAATTCCTCTTAATCATTTGTGATTTGCCTAGATTTTCATTTGTATATTTGTAGCTTTTTTTACTTTCCAATGATTCCAGGTTCTATCCGTGGCATTGGATGAATGGTCTGATGAAGAAATTGATGCCATGATTGAAGTTGGAGGAAATTCCACTGCGAATTCAATCTATGAGTCTTATATACCTGATGGATATACAAAGCCTGGTCCAAATGCTAGTAATGATGAGCGGAGGAAATTCATTCAGTTAGATTTCAGACGATTTACAATTTCTCAATTTGAGCATTTCTTTCTTACTTATATCCAGTGTTGTATGTGTTCAAAAACTATTTTCATGTAGCAGCCTTTTCTGGGCACCTCTTTATTGTATTCATATAGAAAGCCAGTTTCATAAACTGCAATAACCTTATTGTGACCTACTATTTAACCTATTTTACATATAGCAGATTTGATAGATTATCAACGCTTAGATGTTATAGTAATTACTTGTTTCAAATCTTCCTGCAGGGCCAAGTATGAACTTCAAGAATTTGTGAAACCTAGCTTGCGAATCACATCAGGGAGGAGTTCTTCTTCTCTTCAATCAAACATTTCTGGAAAGATTCTTGATACAATCCTATCTTCATCAAATTCGGTAATTCTTTTGTTTTTTGTTTCTTCCAATCTGATTCTTTGTTTTGGGAACAAGGAAGATCATGTTGCTATTTTTAAGAGATCATATGGTCACTTGTTGAATAGCATGAGCTGAACATGTACATGTGATTCTTTTATATCATCCTCTTTGTTGGATACTTGCATTCAATTTATTTGTCTAGATCTATAATTATTTTGTAAAAGTAGGTCTGTAGTTAACACCAACAATTTGAATACCACAAGCCGGACTTAATATCTTGCTGCACTTCATAACTTCAATCAGTTTGACCGGAAAGTGATTACAGGAAGGCATGGTTGAATATATTGGGTTACTGAAGATCAAAGTGGTAAAAGGCACAAATTTAGCCATCCGGGATATGATGACAAGTGATCCTTATGTTCTCCTAACTCTTGGGAAGCAGGTTAGTTGCTTCCTGTCTTTCGTTTTAATCTCATAAGTCGTAAAGTTTTGTCAAGGCTATACATTGTGTTCTTGTTTTTTTTATAGAAGATTAGGCCTCATTAAAAACCCCCTTTTTCACCCTCCATGTTATGAAAGTAACATGAAAGAGAAAGAAAGGAGGAAAAGAGTGCCTAAAAATTTATTAGATGAAACAATAGTACAACCAAGGCAGACCCTGAACATCTGCTAACACCACCAGTAATTACATAAAACTTAAACACAACAGCTAAACATAGGAAGTAAAATTTCCTACACCTCAACCGAAACAGATAGAAACCATAACATCACCCTATCCCATCTTTAGCTAATTTGTCAGCTTCTCAATTTGCAGCCCTCAAAATGTGCCTGATAATTATATCCTTCACTGCCACAAGAGAAACTATATCCTTCACCAATAATTGAAACATAGGAGTGCATGAACCCGGACTCTTGATCCACTTCAGAGCATTGCTTGAATCTGATTCAAGAACACCTTTATTATTAATCTAGTTGGGGAATTACTGAATCTATTAATCCGAAGGGATGTTTCTGAGGGATTATTTTCTGGTATGACAGTTGGCAAGGAAGAAGGGTCCTTTAATCTTACGCACTTGCAGTTTGCGGATGACTTAATTATTTTTTGTGGAGCTTCGAAGACTCAAATTATGAATGTGAAGAGGGTGCTTAGAGTGTTTGAGGTTATGTCAGGGCTGCAACTGAACCTTAAGGAAAGCAGATTGTTCGGGATTAATATTCCCCAACAGGAGGTTAAGACTTGGGCAGATTCTATTGGTTGTATAGTGGGAAACTTCCCCTCTAATTATCTAGGCCTCCCTCTAGGTGCTACTAAGAATTCCTCTGTTATTTGGGAACCAGTGGTGCAGAATTTTCACTCTAAATTAGCAGGTTGGAAGGCTACTACTCTATCTTTAGCAGGGAGATTGGTTTTGATCAAATCAGTTCTTTCCTCACTGCCTACGTATTTTTTATCTTTGTTCAAGATTCCAGCTTCTATCCTTAAGTCTCTAAATTCAATTATGTCTAATTTTTTATGGGGAGGGGGAAATGGTAATAAGAAGATACACTGGGTTAAATGGGATGATGTTTGCAGATCAAAGAATGAGGGAGGTTTGGGAGTTCGGAATCTGATTTGTATGAACAGGGCACTGCTAGGGAAATGGTCTTGGAGGTTTGCAAATGAGAGAAGTTCTGTTTGGAGGAATTTTATTTGTAGCAAATACAACATTGATTCTTCTAGATTACTGTTTGATAGCAAGATTTCTACTCAATCTTCCTGGTTATGGAGATCAGTGGTTAATAACCATTACAAACAAGACTCCTTTGGTTCTAAGTTTCGTAGTTTGTGCAATTTTCACGTTGGAAATGGTAAGCATGTTCGATTTTGGCAAGATGACTGGGTTGCTGATTTTCCGTTTCAGATTATGTTTCCTAGACTGTTTTCGCTTTCTACTAATAAATACGGTAAACTTTGTGAGTTTGGGGAATTTCTTTCTTCGGGCTGGATTTGGGATGTTCAAGTTCGAAGAAATTTAAATGATTGGGAGATAGAACAATGGTGTAATTTGGTGAGCATCATTTCTTCTTTTTCTCTATCTCTTGATTCTAGTGATGGTTTGATTTGGAAAGGTAGTGGGGACGGTGTTTATAATGTCGGTTCTTGTGTTGAGAGGTGTGGATCAGGTTCAGAAGATGTTCATTTCTGGAATAAAATTGTTTGGAGAGGATTGGTTCCCCCTAGAGTTGAAACATTAGTGTGGCAAATTGTGCTTCACAAAATTGCTGTTAAAACTGAATTGGTTAAAGAGGTGTTCAAGGTATTGAGGATGAGTTATGCCCTCTTGTAGAATGGTTGAAGAAACTTCATCGCATCTATTCTTTTCTTGTTCGGTTGCGTGGTCTTTGTGGAACAAATTTCTAAATTTTTGGAGGTTTAGTTCTGTGTTTCCTGCAGAAGCAAAAAGTTTTCTTCTAGCTTGGGATGAGTTGAAATCCAATTCTGCAATATGGACTTTCATTCCTGGGGCTGTTATTTGGTCAATTTGGAAAATCAGAAATTTTATTGTTTTTGAAGGGGGAAAGCTTGATCAGTCTGAATTATTTTTCTTAACAAGAGTTAGGCTGGCCTCTTGGTTTCTAGCAAAGAATAAGGATGTTTCTATTACTAAGGACTCTTTAATTTATGATCCTTCTATAGGAGATTCCTATTCGTCCTACAATTTCTTGAAGTCTTCTATAATCCCTTGGTTACCTTCCCCTATGGGTTTCGTCAAGGTAAATGTGGATGCAGCCACTAGCAGTGATTGGAAGGAATCAGGTCTTGGAGGTCTTATGAGGGATCAATCTGGTGCAATCCTAGGTTCTTTTCAGGAGCCTGCTGGTTCAGAACCTCCAACATTGAAGGAACTTAAAGCTATTCAAAGGGGTATTTCTTTCTTTGCCTCTTTTCAAGGGAGGGTTAAAGATATGCTGATCGTTGAGAGTGATTGCAGGGTTGCAGTAGACTGGATAAATAATGTTGACTCATGTCCAATTGTATATGGTTTTATTGTTGGAGATATTGTTGATAGTCTTAGAACTTTCGGGGGGGTTGTTAGATGGGTTGCAAGGACAGCGAATATGGATGCTGATGGTTTAGCAAAGGCTGGTATAGGTTGATTTTTATGTTGTTGGCTTCTTTAGTTTGGTTTTCTGGCTCCTGTATTGTTTGTAAGGGTTTTTTGGAATAGTTGTTCCAAGGTTGTAATTCTATTTTCTATAATGAAATTATAAGATATACTCTTTTCCTCCTTCTGATGATTAAGAAGCCTCCATTAATCAAAGAAGGAGGTTTTTAATGAGGCCTTCAAATCTTATCAAAAAAAAAAAAAGAACAAAACTTAAATCTTCCAGAATACATAACCCCCTCTTAATCGCCAATAATTCTGCCAAGATAGGAGGATCACCCCCAACTCTTTCTGAAAAACATTGAAACACCATACCTTTGTTGTCCCGAATCAGTCCACCAATACCTCCCTTATCCCAGCCCTTTGCCATCGCTCCATCAACATTTAGCTTTAAGAACCCATCCGGAGGAGGAACCCAACAAATTGGTGTAGAGCTACCATTTCCTTGTCTTCCCACCAAGTCAGCAAGTTTTAGATCACCCACTAGTGAGTCTAAAGGGATATGCACATCCTTGCTTTGCAACAAACCAGGAAGCTATTCTAAAACGAACAATAAAAAACAGTCACACCACATCTAGCTTTACTTTCTAAAAAATAACCTCGTTTCTACATTTCCACACTGACCACATCAACGCCCTTGGAATAAATTTCCAAATCAAAGAGTTCGGAAGTAAATCATCCCACAAATTAAAAAAGTCAATGATATTCTTTGGAATCACAAAAGACAAATTCCAGATATTCAAAAATCTGGACCACAACCCCCATACTACCTCGCAATGCAAAAAGAGATGACTAACTGATTCCATTTCCCTACCACACAAGGAACATAAAGGATCATCAATCCCTGACACACCTCGCTTCAGTAATTCCTCCTTAACCGCCACTCTGTGATGAGCAACTTGCCAAACAAATGTCTCCACCCGTGGAGGAGCAATTCCTACCCAAATGTGCCTCTCTCAGATCTCCTTCTGCTGAAAACCGTCTTGATCAAAGAAAATGCTGATACAAGATTAACTGAAAAAACAACTCTCTCCATTCCCTGACCAAAACCAACAGTCTTCCTCGCATGGAAATATAGAAATATTGTTCAACATAGAAATCAACTGCAGCAGCTGTTCTACCTCCCAATCGCCAAATTTCTCCTCATTTGAATGTCCCACACCCAACCAGGGCCATTATTCTCCCTAAACTCCATCACTTTACCCGATTTATTACTCGAAAGAACACAGAGTCTAGGAAACTGAATTTTCAAAGGTACTTCACCCAACCATACATCGTTCCAAAACTGCACAGAATTCCCCTTTCTTGTCTTCAAACGCAAATTCTTCCTAATATAATCCCCAAAACCGTCATCGGAAAAGAAATTTTTAACCACACCTCTCCAAATCCATGATGCACGGGTTGGCCACGAATTCCCCATCATAATGCATTTCGGATCCATGTCATATACACCACGTACCACCCTCTTCCACCAGGACTCTTTCTCTGATGCAAACTTCCATACCCATTTCCCCAATAATGCTCTGTTCAAGAGTGATAAATTTGGGACCCCTAGACCCCCCAATTTTTTTGGTTTACTAATCGCATTCCAATTTAACCAATGGATATTTTTTTATCCGCCACACCCCCCACAAAAATGAAGCCATGATAGAATTAAGTTTCTTTAGCACCGTAACTGGAATTTTGAAAATGGAAAGAAAATAAACGTGGAGCGAGCACAACACTGATTTAACCAACACCACCCTTCCTGCAAGCGATAGGGAATTAGACATCCAACCACTCAACCTAGCATGAAATCTCTTCACTATTGGCTCCCACATAGCAGCCGAATTTCTCTTGTACCCCAAGGGTAAACCTAGATACTCTGATGGGAAATAGCCTACCGAACAACCAATATCATTAGCCCAAGTAGCTAACACCCCATCCTCAACATTGATACCATAAATTCTGCTCTTAACAAGATTAATCTTCAGCCCCACCAGTAACTCGTATATTAATAACACTCTTCTAACATTCCTCAAATCACGAGTAGAGCCTTTACTGAAAATTATAAGATCATCCGCAAATTGCAGATGCGAAAGCTTAAATGCACTATCATGAACACCTAGATCGAAACCTGAAAACAGTCCCATTTCAACTGCTTTAGTTAGCAACAAATGCAGTAACTCACCGGCCAAATTAAACAGCAAAGGCGATAACGAACAAAATTTCTCTGTAGGTGATCCTTTTACTAGAACCGAAATTGATGCCGAAGACATACATTGATACATTCATGACCTCCACTTTTCACCAAACCCCATTTTGCTCATAATTTTCATCAAAATATCCTAATCAACCGAATCATAGGCTCTCTTAAAGTCCACTTTAAAAACTACTCCCTTCAACCCTTTCTTCCTCCAAAAGTCAATGCTTTCATTTGCTATAAACGACCAGTCCAATATATTCCTTCCCGGAATGAAAGCAAATTGAGACGGACTCATTATATCATCAATACACAAGCTTAATCTTCTAGCTAAGACCTTTGATAAAATTTTATATAGCCCTCCGACAAGGCTAATTGGCCTAAAGTCTTCCAACCCCTCCGGATTATCCTTCTTAGGAATGAGAGAAATAAAGGAATGATTTACCTTCGAGTCCCACTCCTTCCCCTCATAGAAATCTTTAAAAAAACAGCATCACATCATCCTTCAAAAAGGTCCATAATTTCTTAATGAAACCTAAATTTAGACCGTCCGGTCCCGGAGCTTTATTACTATCCGAATGAACGATAACATTCCATACTTCCTCTTTCAAAAATGGCTTCTCCAATGCTAGACACTGCCCTTCTGATAGTGTAAGAAAATCCAGATTTAAGTCCTCAACCTCCAAAGTATTCCTTTCATTAAACAACCCCTTGAAGAACTCCACCACAGAGGCTTTAATAACAGTGGGATCTTCTGTGACTACATTGTCAACTTTGAGAGATTTAATACAATTTGTCCTCCCTCTAACTGCCGCACTATGATGGAAAAATCTAGTGTTCTTATCTCCTTCCAATCTCCACTTGATTCTAGACTTTTGCATCCAAATGGATTCTTCTTTTTTTGTAGCTCCCATAATTCTCTCTTTGCTTCAATAATAGATTGCATAGACACCATGGGAAGTCCTTGTTGCAAATCCATTTCCATATCCTGATTTCCTCTCTCCAGCATTCTGATTTTTCCTGGCAGCTGAAGATAATCCCTCCTCAACCACCTCTTTGCCACATCCTTCACCCGATTAAGTACTTTAGAGATGGACATCGGATTCGCCCCTTTGCAGAAATTAGACAGCTCCGTTTTCATCATCTCACTAAACCCATCTTCTTCCAACACATAATTAAACAACCGAAATGGTTTCATCCCCCAATTACATTCCTTATTCTCCAACAAAATGATATTATGATCAAAGACAGACCTTGGATGCAAAGTTTGGCTTAATTTTGGAAAAGACCAAAAATATGTCTGATCAACCAAAAACCGATCCAACATCTCATAAGTGGGAACTTCCCTATTATTACACCACGTAAAACGACCTCCAAATAACGGCAAATCAATCAAATTCGCCTGACCAACAAAATCTCTGAAACAATTCTTGGATACCGGATTCACTGCTCCTCCATCTTTCTCTTCCTGGGACAATACTGCATTGAAGTCTCCTCCTAAACACACTGGGCACTGAAGCTATTCCAAAAAGGATGATAACTCCCTAAAAAACTGCTCCTTATCTGCATCAACACTCGGACCATAGACATTAATAAAACAACAAATTCCTTGTACTCCTTCCATCAACCCCTTTATTGCCACAAATCTACTATGGATGACTTCTTCCTTCACCACAAATTCCTTTTGATTCCACAAAGTTATTAAACCACCAGCAGAACCTACAGCAGGAACTGTTACTGAACCAGTTAGAATTTTACCTCCCATTTCTTTACTAACAAAGGACTTACAACTTCCAGTTTAGATTCTTGTAAAAATAAAATTGTAGGCTTTTTCTCCTTTACAAACCTCATTATTGCTCGAGCTTTCACCCTCCTACCCAAACCCCTAACATTCCAACACATTATGGACCATTCTACCATCATAAACATACCATAACCTTAAATCCATGTTCCTACTACCGACCATCAATCATCTCTCTCATTTACCATAGGACCTACTTTGGTCAAGAAATCTGTCTCACCTCCTTTAAATTTAACCCCCAACAATTTAGAGACATTCCAACATTCCAAACTTCTGTCCTCCACTGGTTCTCCTTTTCTGTAACATAATCAGACCCCTTACCACTACAACTTTTAACTTCCCACCTCCTAGCATACACATTCTTATAGAAACCTCTTTCAGCTTTACTGACTGAAGCACTCTTCCCACTAGGATGTCGCTGGGCCACTGAAACAGACCCGTTCTGTAGAACAGAATCAGCTTGTATACAATTTATTAAATCTGCAGCCTTAACCCCATTTCTATTTGATCTTGGACTTCCCTGGTCAGGCCCAAACACCTCTCTCCTCCCCATACTGGAATTAAGCCCATCATCTTTGTCCAATTTATCTTGTCCCGAGGTATCATCTCCCATGCTCTTCACCCTTTTCCTTCAGAAAAAACCCCTGACACTTGCTGCTGACTGTAAACCTCACCTAGTACTGTCCCCTCAGAACAAAAGTCAGCATCTAAGGTATTATTGACTTCTGCATTTTCTTTCAAATTTCCACCGGTAAACGTGTCACCCCCATTTGTAGCATTCCTAACCCATGCTTCAACCCTGTTCTGAGTGTCTGCCAACTTTTTAAAATTCAACTACTCCTGCAGACCCTCCCGATCATCCCCTTGATTCTCTTCCGACGAGGTCTCCTCCCATGGATCAGCTGTTCCCTCCACAGAACCCTCTTCATCAACTCCATCTTCTATCACAGGAAAGAAATCCTCACTTCCTTCCACTTTAATCTTAATAATAAAAGACCTTCCATAAGTGTTAATGGTGACATGGGATGGGATATCAAACGGGCTCTCAACCCTTAACAACATATGAGCCACCCTGCAATCCACTCTTTGAGCAGTATGCTCCTGGATCTTCACTACTTTGCCCCATCTCGATGCTAAACTTGTAAAGAATGAAACTGACCAACAGTTTAATGGGACTCCTATCATGGAAACTGCACAATAAGGTAATGGGACACACTTCTCTTCCAAAACAGGCTCCAGCCTTTCGAACCAAAAGGACAATGCCTCCCACTTGTTTTCCACCGCTGCATCTTTCTCCTCCACGGGCCGGAAGACTATCAAACATGCATTTTTTGCATAACCCCACCTTACCACCTTGACATTGATTCCTTCACTTCTTAAAGCCCTCTGAACAAACTCAACTTCAAAAATCGCTTTACATATACCTGTTAAAGACGATCTCAACCATGTTCTCTCTTTCATTGGAATAAAGACTTCCAAAGGCTTCTTCACCTCCCTCTTATCTCCAGAGCTGGATACTTGCTGACCCTCAATTTTTCTCACTCCCACTACCGTATCCTTATATGTTCTACCATCATGGAACTTATTCAACAACTCCTTCTTCCCAACATCAACATCTTGACATAATGGACTTTTCCTTTTGGAAACCTCCACACCTGCATCTCCAGACCCAGCTACACTGTTACGCTTAAGGTTCCCTGAAAAACTACTCTTCTGATATTTCGTAGTCGTTACCACTATTCTCCTCCCATCTACCATGACATTGTTCATCTTACTCATTGCATTAAGCAAATCCTCCTTACTTGCAAAGTGCACAAAGGCAAACGTTTTATCCTTATAATTAGGTCTTCTATTAACAAATGGAATGAACACCTTAACCACCTTGCCATGGAGACTAAAACGATCCCATAAAACACTTCTATGCACTCTCCTACTAAGATTATCTATGAATGCTACCCTCGATCCTCCACCAGGCACTGCTCTACCTCTGCCAGGAGAACCATTGCCTCTCGGCCCCACACACATTCTCTCACTAAGTTTCTCACTTATCGTTAATAAACACTTATTTACATTGTGTTCTTGTTTTCTTTTGTCAATCTCAATCTGTAGACTTCTTTATAAATTATGTTATTCTTTTGTCTCTCTTCTCTGCTTGTACGTACATGAATTTCTCGGCATTATGCTTGTAGATTAATAGTATCACTTCTGTATGTGGATTAAGCACCCTTTTTGCTTTTTCTTTCTTTTTGGAATTCGAGGTTGCAAGTTTTTACTCCTGGTCATTGAAACTAAGAGTCTAGCACTTTAATCACACAGCTATTGACTGGCTGTTAGTACCATTCACTTGGTAGTATTGTGGATTTGTGATTCAGAACAGACATCTATTAAAGCTTTTGCGGTACTTTATATATCTGTTTACTTGATTGGTAGTTATGGTACTTGAACTTTGCTGTATTGAAAATGGGTGGGTATGTTCATTTTTTTCCAAGTTGTTTTCATGTATTTGGTTGGAGGACTATTTGAAAGGTTATATTTCTATGCCTATTTCCAGCTACGTGTCAGACACAAGTACTAAAAAAATAAAGAAAAAGAAAGTCGGAGTAACATAGATTGGTACTGCATGCATATTCCTTTTGGGATGCTTTACTTGTTTTCTTATGTTTTTGTTTTCCTACCAATATTGGATTTTTTTTTTATAGAAAACCAATATAGGATTTAGTTTCTTTCAATGACTCCTTTTTTTTAAAAAAAAAATCATGATAACAACGGTTGATTTTTGATCTTATTAGACTGTTCAGACGACTGTAATATCGAGCAACTTGAATCCAGTTTGGGATGAGGAACTCATGCTATCCGTTCCTAACAACTATCGGGCTGTGAAGTTGGTAAGTGTAGTTCTTTTCCCCTAATCTTAGTTATTTAGAAACTATGTAGTTGTTTCTTTAAAATTGAAAGAAAATTTGTAGTTAAAAAGTACTGCTTTTTTTTTTATAGGAATAGGAGGCCTCGTTAAAAACCTCCCTCTTAGTTGGGTCTTGTGAAAGAGGCAACTAACGGAAGGAGGAAAAGGGTGCCTCATTTTATTAATAAGCCAAAGTTACATAAGATACAACTTACATAATAAACCTCCCAAAGTAAAATACAGACCAATACAACAATAAACCTCTATACATCAACCAATCCCTTCCTTAGCTAGCTTGTTTGCTTCCCAATTACAACTCCTAGGAATCCAATTAATAATAATACCTCTAGCAGATACAACGGCCCCAATTTCCTCAACCAGTGAACTAAAAAACGTTGGGGCAGAAAATGGCATCAAAATCCAATCCACAGCATTTTTACAATCACTCTCCATGATTAGTCTTCCCTTCTTAGCCCAATCTGATGAAAGGAATATATCAATTCCTTGTTTAATGGCTTTTTTAATAACTATTACCCTCTTTATATATTTAATATGATAGTTGTGATTCTACGATTTGGCTATTTATGAAGAATCTGTATATTGTGATAGGGCTGATTAAGTTGGAGTTGGGTCAAAGTCATATGAGTTTTATTATTTGGCTCTGTTAAGTATTTTCTGGTTGAGGTTGGTTTGGCTACATGTTGGCTGGGTTTTGGCCTTTTAGATTTTGAATCAATTTGACCTGTATGAGAACAAGTTTTTGGTGGGTTATCCCATGCCAACTTTTGTTGCCTCTATGTGCAATGCATAAAAGCAGTAACCAGGTGGAACAGTTGTGAGGCCAAGTTACTTTGATTTCATTTTCATTTGAGGCCCCTGGCTCAAGTTGATTCAGATTTGGGTTTAGCTCTTCAAGTTATTAAAGTTTTGAGACAATAGTTAGTCTGGTTTTCTACTGGTCAGATTCATTAGAAATGGAAAATATGTCTTATTCAATTCCTAAAATATTAACCGTCTTTTAGATGCTTTGCTGGTTATTTTGCATCTGGAACACTTTTAAGAGTTTAGTGTTTTTTTCTTTTCCCCCTCCCCCTCAGCTCTAAATACTTAACGTGTAATTGTTTTCTAGCCATCGTGCAGGGATGGATTGAGGGGGGGTTGTTGCATCCCTTGGGAATTTCAAATTCCCATATAATTTATAGATATTTTCTTTGAAGAGCACAAGGTTCTTAACCTTGAGGTCGTGGGATCGAGTCCCACGGAGGGTATTTCATAATTCGGAGGTCTTCTACGGAAGCTGCTCTCAACCTGGTGTTGGGGGCAGCCTACTATCTTACCTCCCCCTTACCCCATTACATATGAGAACAAGGGACATCCATTTCTTTGTATTTTCTATTGATGATCTCATTTTGCACCCTCTGAAAGTTTATAATTTTGCACCCCCAAAATTTCTTATATAATTTCCTAAGTTCTCACCCCCTGACATAAATTCTTGTGCCCGTCTATGTGTTCGTGGTTTTAGTCTCAAAATGGTTAAGAGGGGTAAAAATTATGTGTACTGCATCGGAAGAAAAAAAGGAATTTATGAGTAGACCTCCATTTTTATCTTGATTAAAAAGGATGTAACTAGAAGTGTCAGATCGTCTATCAAGATTGATTTAGTAGAGCTAGAAACCTAGGTGAAGCGACTGAAGCCTGAATTCAAAACACCTATTGCATTCATTATCTATTTAGATGAGTTCAATTTATAATTCAAAGATATGCAGATAAAAAGGCAGTCGCTAGAGCCAACAGTAGAACATGGCGGTGTTATCATTTTTAGGCAGGAAAATAAAGAAACTATCCAAAAGCTTGCCTTATTAGCTACATCTCTAATTCTCTACTAGGCGCATTGTCAAGTTAAATCTGCGATTTAGTTATTACTGTCACTTTTTTCTTGGATACTAGGGGTTGCTCGGATTTGAACTCAAGCTTGCATGCAGCACAAACCCTTGTAGCCACTTCGACAAGAGTTTGTTGGCAGCTGTAGCTATTGCTATCTATTATGAGTTGCTGCATTTTGGCTCACTTGACTAGGAGTTTCACTTTAGAGGGGAAAAAAACTTATAGATTAGAGGTCCGACTTATAATGTCAACTTTCTGCATTACTATCAACTATATTGCTTCAGCACTTTATTTTTCTACAAGTACCCTTGTTCAACATCTGTACCCAATACACATGCGAAAATAGGTATGGGGATTTGATCCTTGAAGGACTCTCCAAATAAAATACATGAAAATCTTGGACAAAACCAACATACTTATGAAGGACATATTTTCATGTCCAAAATTCGCAATCGAGTCGGACTGATATTTAAAAAAAACTACATACTTTGCAATGCTTGGACATTATTATACTAGTTTATTCTTGATTAAGTAAACTAATTTTTGTTATTTACGATGACAATTTATATGATTGATACGAGCATGCTTGCATTATTCATTCATTCATACAAGATTTCCTGCCATCTTAAGCATATAATTACAATGAGTTTCTCTAATCTGTTGAGCTTCTACACTGTAGCAAGTATATGATCACGATACCTTCTCAGCCGATGATATAATGGGAGAAGCAGAGATTGATATCCAGCCCTTGATAACATCTGCAATGTCGTACGGGGACCCCCAAATGTTCGGGAATATGCAGATCGGAAAGTGGCTGAAGTCCAATGATAATGCCCTTATGGAGGATAGCATCGTCAACATCATTGATGGGAGGGTGAGACAAGAAGTATCACTCCAGCTCCAAAATGTTGAATCTGGAGAAATTTATTTAGAAGTGGAGTGGCTGCCTCTCGATCAGTAAGCCTGTGTGGTGTAATTGTATTGGCTTCAGTATGCTCCGTCGGTGTTAATTTTGAATATAGGCTCATTTTTTTCCTTCTGAAGTGTTCATTTTATTTGGAGTTGAGGATTGGGGCAATCATTACGTTAAGCTTTTGATCCATGTCTCGTGTTTGAATAAATTAAGGATGTTTCAGAATGATTTGAAGTTGCCTTGTATTGTCTTCTGCTATCCTTGATTTCTTTTTAAGCTGCAGATCACCTGGAGTATCTCCCTTATAATAATATTGAATTTTTAATTGATCTGAATTAAAAAAAAACATATACAATAAAAATTATCAGATTCGGTCCAAATAGTGAACTGTTTTCCTTATAATAATATTCCAAATTATTCATGAGTTGTCCTCCTCCTAGGATTCATAATTTTTTAAAAACCATCATGTTCTTAATACATGCGTAATACTGAATTTAGTATTTAAAAACATTTTTAAAATTAAATAACAGTGCATATAAATACGTAATTTGTATTGTTCATACATTTTTTTTCAACACCGTTTATTGTACTAATAATATCTCCTTTGAGATGCTCAGTTCTTGACATTTATTAGTATAAATAAATTAAATTATTATATTTTTACTTCTCAATTTAATTGGTGTTACTGAATTAGATGATACCATAAATTCAATCAAACATTTTATATAAATATTTTAATTTTTTTATAAATTTTTTATGTAAAAATATAATATTATAAGTATATTATAAGTCTCTAATTCATATGGGAAATTTCTCGGAGGCCCATATTTGCCAGTGTTTAAGCCGCTTGGCCACCCAAAAACGTCATTCCCTCGTTACTACCACCGGCGGTCGCCAGAAAACCGGTCAGCAGTTCGTCGAGAGCGTCCTGAGTCTGACTCGCGGCCTGCTCCAACTTGGCCTCCGAAACGGCGATGTTGTTGCAATATCTGCTTTCAACAGGTTCTTTCCGGAACTTTTCAGTTTCAGACTCCAACTGCATTTTTCAATAACAGAAACTGCCCGGCAATATTTTTTCTTGCCAAACGCAGTCTTGTGTGTGGAATACTATCTTTTTTGTTTTCATGACGAAGGCATTCATTGAGATTAGCATAAATTAACTTATATTGCGTTAATCTAAGACGACATTACACACATTGTTTCTCTGTTACTGAGTGAAGTCGAGGCATGATGCATATGTGTGTTATTTATTTTCTTGCAATTGTTCTTTCTGATATTAAATTGTTGTTGTTTCAGTCATTGGTATCTAGAGTGGATACTAGCCGTTGCATTTATTGGAGGCATAGTTGCTCCTTTGAATTATCGATGGGTTAGTATCTCAGTTTCTTTTACCAGTCGCTCTTAACTGTTTCCTATTTCAATTATTGAGAGTTTGTTTAATTCCTTTGAGCAAGAGAATAAAAGGATTTTTTTTCTAAATATAGTTTCTTTGGGATCTTAATTTCATTGGGTTCAAGTTTCTCTTGGAATTGAGATTATTGTGGTTTGTATGTTTCACATTTTTTTTTGAATAAGTATTTTCATATTTTGGACATTTGCAATTAGGGAATGTTTCTTAAACTTGTCAACATAAATTTGTATCATTGAATGAATGCTGTTTTAACCTTCTCTGTCATGAATTTCTTCATAAGAGAGGAAAGTAAAATATAATATAGAATTTCCTTACTAGGGTTGAATGGGTTGTCATAAGTTTTTTTTTTCACTTTAGAGTAAGAGATGTTATCCGCAATGAAATCTGGTCTTATTTCTTGCACTGCATTGCCTTTCCTAAATATAGAGCTTTGAAGAGGCAATAATAGCAATGGTAGCCATAAGATCAAAAATGTTGGTGAATGATGAGAGCTGTTACTTCTGGCATTCTGCACCCCAGGGAGATGCTGTACCGTCTTTAAGGTGGCATGTCACATTAAGCTCCCCTTCCTCGAATGTTATTAACTGCGGAAATGCTTGTGGAGCAATCTGTAAGATTTGAATCGATGAATTACTCATTTGCACCTGAGGGTGCTATTGTAATATGCTTCACGTCAGGTATGTGTTTTATGTGTAGCTCCTCTTAGAACTTATGGTAATATGATTGCAACCTTATGTTGGAATCTTATCAGCCAGTGAGTGTGTACCAAAAAATGAAGGGCAGGTGAAGGGTGGAGAAGAAAATCCCTTCCCCTTTATCTATGGTTTTGTTTTGGATTTTTTACTTCTACCGGAAAAATTCCTCTTCGACCTGCTCCCGGAACAATTCCAAGATAAACTATTGTTGCACATAATTGGGTAATCATTACCTCAAATCCGGCCTGTAGGATTTCTACTCTTCTCTTTTTTGCATCATTCAAAGAGTGCATATTATTAGGTTTTTATCCGTGCTAATCATGTTATAAAAATAAGATTCTGGAACTGCATCATTCCTACCTCCCTGCCAGTTAGTATTTTCAAATAAGGTAGATACTTTAAAGCCTGATCTTCTCCCGTGTTTCTCAAACTCGGGCCTCTATAGGTGCTGCACACGAGTACATGACCTGATGACCCTTTCTTCCTTAATAACCACAGATAACCAGGCGCTCACAAATCTATGATGAACTGTAAATTTTGAAATGATGTGCCATGATAAGCCAGTAAATTTGAGTCACAGTGAAGACAGAGGTAACATTATCAAAAGTCTAATTAGAGCTAATAAGAAGCTTGGTAAAACTCAGATTTTAGAGATTCTTGCTGATAATATATGAGGAGAATAGGATCCAACTGCCTTCTCAGACATTTCTTATTTGCTAATTTTTCTCTTGAATGTGGTGTTGTTAGTTTTTACTGTAATGCATGTTGCACATAATTTCCTTATTTCAAATATTAATATTTTATCTTGAATTGAGAAATCAACTATAGGTTGTAAGCAATATGAAGTACTCTAAGTTTTCCCCTTTCACTAATTTCTATGCATTTATTTTGTCATTAAGTAAAGCAAAGAAGGAAAAAAATGAGTCTTAACTATAATTTAAGTGTAGCGTTTGCTTTTTATTTCGTCATGCATCCTTAAATGTGCAAAAATAACGTAGTTCTTGGTTTTCGTTTTCCTTGGCTTATTATAGGAACTACTGCGAGGCCAAAGGGAGTTGTGATAAGCTATAAAGCTTTTAATTGTGCAATCCCTCGCAAAAGTTGCAATTGTTGGTTACAGTGAGTATGATGTACGCCTTTCTTCTAGAAATATGTATATTCGTTTTGACTGTAGCATATGATTTTAGACAATGAAGAGGTAAAATAATTCAAACATGGTTCTTCCAAAGTGGATTTACCTTGTTGGATTAACCTGATTAATATGGGAGGAACCATACCTATGCTACTAGGACTTCAGTGTGTGTCAAATATAGGTACGAGTCTTATACGGTTGTAACCAGATTTTCTAAGGTTTCTAATATATTTGGAGGATCTCTGGAGGTTAACTCTATGCCTATGTGTCAGATACGGGAGTCGAACATGAATTCTTCAAGAAAAATAAAATGTCGGAGTAACAAAAAGTCATACAGCTCAAGGAAAAGTGCATCCTATCTTTTTTGGTCTGTATCCTTTGATCGCATTAAGTTCTTAATACTTTATTGTCTTGTTATTTCCAGGTTTATTTACATACTACACCCTTGTGCCACATTGGTGGTTTGTCCTCGGCCATGGCCATGCTAATGGTAGGAGCTTGCCATATATTCATGCCCAAGTTTGAAGCGACATTAGCCCTCAAAGCAATAGAACAGCACCATGTGACTTCTCTAATTACTGTCCCAGCAATAATGGCTGATCTAATCTTGTCAACCAGGCTGAAGAAAAGTTGGAAGGGAAGTGACAGTGCGAAGAAGATATTAAAATGGAGGAGGCCTATCAGACAACCTTATTAAAGATGCAGCATTCCCAAAAGCAAAACTTCTTTCCGCTTATGGGATGACAGAGACATATTCTTCTCTGGCATTCATGACCCTCTTTTGAGCCAATGCTGGAGGCATCTGGTACATCACCGCAGGTGTTTACCGGAACTAATCCAAGTCCGGTCAAAACACGAGGTGTTTGTGTTGGCAAGCCTGCTCCATATGTTGAAATAAAGATATGCAATGATGGCTCTTCTAATGTTGGAAGGATTCTCACAAGAGGTCCGCATGTAATGCTAAGGTACCGGGATCATAAAATTCCTGAAAAGGCATTAAATTCTATTGAAGAAACTTGGCTAGACACAGGTGACATTGGGTTTGTTGATGACCATGGTAACCTGTGGCTTGTTGGACGAACCAATGGTCGAATCAAAAGTGGAGGAGAAAATGTATACCCTGTTACATATTTTATTAATATATATTCAATTTCCATACGACGTAACTTAAACAAGTTTGTATAATATAATTACACAATATATAATAGAAAATAATATTTATAGAGTCGATAAATATATGATAGAATTCTAGATTTTTATAAAATAAATATGATTATTTTTTTTATAGAAAATTCATCTCTTTGGAATTATCACTTACTACACTATTATAATCATATTTATATTACTTGATATTAAATTAAAAATCATTATAAGGCACTACTGGATCTATATTTTGCTATATTGCTCTGGGTAGGAGTTACTAGATCATTTTTTTTTCATTGTCCTATACCTCTAGTATCTTATATCATTATTTATATTTCAAATTGAGTATATCTGTTATAAATATTTATAAACTGTTTTTGCTTTTTGGGTGTTGCATTTTCGGGTCTGAGGATTTTCAGAAAGGTTTCTTCTTTGGATATTCTTTTTCATAGTCCCACATAGCTTCGATTATAGATGATTACGTGAGGTCATGTCATTCTTTTAGATCCCATAGGGCGTATAGGTGGAGGGCTCAACGGAGTGGTGTCAATGAGACTAGACTTAGAGTTTGTTCGTTAAATGTAGGCACATTAAATGCTAGGCTGCTGGAGCTGACCGACGTACTTAGTAATAGGAAAATAGATTTTGCATGTATTCAGGAGACTAGGTGGAAAGGGGCTCGCGCCAGAGAGTGTAATGGGTACAAGTTGTGGTATTCAGGAGTAGATAACGCTAGAAATGGGGTGGGTATCTTGGTATCCTCTAGTCTCAAGGAAAATGTTGTTGAAGTTTGTAGATACCGGGATAGGATCATGATGATTAAGGTTATTATAGAAGCGGAAGTGGTTAATGT